TGGGGGTGGCGGCCCCCCCGGGTGGGAGGCGTGGGGGTGGCGGCCCCCCCGGGTGGGAGGCGTGGGGGTGGCGGCCCCCCCGGGTGGGAGGCGTGCAGTGCGGGGCTGCTGGCCCCCCACTGTGTCACATGTCAGTTAATGCACCAAATTTTCACTGCTTATCGGTGCTTTAAGGATACAGTTGTTTAATGGGGGATCCGTTTTATTTTTTTGTTTGTTTTTATACTGTATATGGGGTTAAAACAAGGTGTTTATTATTATTTTTGCTACTGCTTTACAATAAGATTACGCCTATGAAGGGTTTATAATCAGGTTAAGTAAGTTTATAAATGATTAATAGACAAGTATAAACAGAGATGCATGTAACTGGTATGCAGAAGTACGCATTCGGCATGCGCAGTACGTCTGGCATTTTCTTCTTGTAACAGCACAGATGCAGATACTTATTTTATGTGCGTCTGCTCTCTGTGTTTTAACCTTTATACCGCAAATGAAGTATGAATTAGCCGTATATTCTATGTGGTGAATGCGTACTTGCGTACCAGTTACATGCATCTCTGATTATAACGTTTTTAAAATTATTACCATTTATAAATACCAAACAGGTATTGCGAAGCGGCACCCTTTGTTCCGCCTAACGGTTCTGAGCGGCACCCTGTGTTCCGCCTAACGGTTCTAAGCGGCACCCTGTGTTCCGCCTAACGGTTCTGAGCGGCACCCTGTGTTCCACCTAACGGTTCTGAGCGTCTCTCGGCCCTGACGGCCGCCGGTTCTCGCCCGCTGGAGGATGACGCAGCTTCTGCGCCTCTGTTGCACAGGCGTGCTACGGCATCCTGAAGGTGCCCCTGGGGACCTGGCTGTGTCGTACCTGTGCACTGGGAGTGCAGCCCAAATGCCTACTGTGCCCCAGGAGGGGCGGAGCTCTGAAACCCACCCGCAGCGGAACCAAGTGGGTGCACGTCAGCTGTGCCTTATGGGTCCCGGAGGTAACGTGGCGCCCCCTCCGAGAGACGTCCGTTTATCTGTCAAGTTAAATGTTTTACGGAGGTGATGTTGTGGGGGAGTGAGGGGGGGAAGTATACTTTTTTTGTGCAAAAAATTTTGTGTACACAAAATTGCAAAAAACCAAAAATCTGAAATACTAAACTTTTCCCAGGTGATAAATCTGTCTGCTGTTGGTTATCACTGGATTTGCCATACTTTGCTTCTCACCTATCAGACAGAATAAATATTAAGACTCATAAAAAAGAGGAGAGACTTTCATGGAAGTCAAGCAGGCGGAGCCTGAATTAGCTTTCATTTTTATAGGCTGCTTGACGTGGGGTGGCAGTGTTTGCCTGGAAGCTGTAAAGGGTTGTAGTATTTATCTAAGCCTGTTTTTATGGGGGGGGGGGGGGTAAGGAGCCCAAACTGAATGTCTGGGTGACCTCTACTGCCAGGAAGCTGTAGTCGGCCAGCGCCGGGGACTTTGAGCCTGGTCTGTGTTCCGGAACCTCTGATTGGCTTTTACGGGCGTTGGGCAGCCTTGAAGGTGCCCTTGCGGTCGCTTCGTGATGTTGTGCCGTGGTCACGACCCGCAGCCCGGACTCGATGGCTCTGCTGGCACACGGCTGGGTGTCTGAGTCTTTCCTGGACCCCCTCTGCAGGTCAGCATCGGCTGTCCGGAGAAGATGGAGCCCATCACCAAGGTATCGCACATCCCTCCCAGCCGCTGGGCCCTGTCCTGCAGCCTGTGCCGGCAGCACGTGGGCACCTGCATTCAGGTATGTGCCCCCCCTCTGCCTTTTCCTCATTCCCGCAGGGCCCCTGCAAATAAGCTACACGGAAATTCGAGAATTGTAGGTGTTTCTCCACACCACAGATTAGTAAACAGCGTTTTAGTTTCATTTCTGACCCCGAGGTATATCCGACAAAACCCAATATCCATACGCTTTGTAAAGATTAAAGGTTAATGGGTAACTCCGTCCGTCTGTCTGTCCGTCCATCCATCCATTTTCTGTAATCGCTTGTCCTATTCAGGGTGGCGGGGGGTTTGCCAGAGGCTACGGGCACAAGGCAGGGAATAACCCAGGATGGGGCACCAACCCATCGCAGGGCACAAGGCAGGGAAT